GATTTCTCTGGGTGGTGTCATTGCTTCCAGTCTACAGATACCTTCTGCATATGCTATCAACCATCTTTACAATCTTCTTAGGGATGAGGAACACTTGAGCCCAATATATCTGCATTTCAAACAAGACACTCTTGATGAGCTGTAGTCTGCCTGCATATGAAAGAAACTTAGAGGTCCAGCTCCTAATCTTGTCCACAATTTTTTCCACCAAGGACATACACTGTTGTATGCTGCTCTTTTTTGCAGATAATGGTACTCCCAAGTATTTGAATGGTAAGGTCCCTTCTGATAACTGCAACTCAGCTAACATTTTATCCTTGAATTCCTTCTTTACTCCTGCTATATATAATGAACTTTTATCCATATTAGCATGCAATCCTGAGACTTCATAGAATTGTTGGAAACATCTGATAAGCATCTTCATGGATATTTCATCAGCCCTGCAACACATAAGAAGATCATCTGCGAAGCAGATGTGGACAATCTGCAGTTTCCTGCATTTAGGATGAAAATTAATGTTTGGTATTCTTGTCAGAGCTTTCAGAGATCTATTGAGGTACTCCATGGCTAGAACAAACAAGTAAGGTGACATGGGGTCCACTTGCCTTAATCCTTTCCTTGCTTCAAACTTCTCAGTGAGACCTCCATTCAACAGTAGTGAGTAGCTTACTGTACTAACACATGTCACAATCAGTTCCACTAGCTTAAAGGGCACACCAAACTCCAGTAATACTGTTCTCAGAAAACCCCATTCCACAGAATCATAGGCTTTCCTAATGTCCACCTTTATCATACACCTAGGTGATACATTCTTCTGAGTATATCCTTTGATTAGTTCATGTGCCATTATCACATTGTCTAGTATATTCCTTCCTTCAATAAAAGCAGACTGAGCAGGTCCAACCAGGTAATCCACCACCATTTTCAGTTTATTTGTTAAGAGTTTAGCTATGATCTTGTATAGTGTTGAACAACAAGAAATAGGCCTAAACTCCTTAACAAGACTAGGATTTTTTACCTTTGGTATCAATGTGACAGTTGTGCAATTAACCTCCTTCATTAGCTTTCCTTTTTGAAAAAAATTATGCACAGCATTTGTTACTTCTTGCCCTATGATTGACCAGTACTCCTTGAAGAATTCTGCAGGATATCCATCAATGCCTGGTGCCTTATCATTAGGCAGGTTCCTCACTACTTGGCTGATCTCCTCATTAGTGATTGGAGCTACTAGTTGCTGCTGTTGAATCACTGTCAAGCATGGCCCATCTCTTGCTATAGTTAGATCAATTCCTGGCATTTGGTTTGCTGCTGTCCCCAGTAACTGTTTGAAGAATTGGATGAACTCCTGTTGAATCAGCTTTGGTTCTGTGATCTTCACCTGAGTATCATTGTAAATGCAGTTCACTTTGTTTCTTGCTTGTCTAGCTCGCATACAGGCATGAAAATACTTTGTATGTTGGTCTCCTAGTTGGATCCATATAGCTCTTGGTTTCTGCCTTTATATTTGTTCTTGGACTGCTTCCCACTTCTCAATATCTGCTAGACATTTCCTTTCATCCTCTATCAGTTCTGCATTAAAATAATCTTCATTTAACATTCCTTGAATCTGATTCAACTCTTCTCTCATCTTGTTTAGCTTTTTATCCACTAATGAATGCTCATATTGTATACTTCTAGTCTCTTTCTCAATCTACTTCAATTTTCTCCAGACTGTAGACATAGCATCTCCTCCACTTCTTTGTTCCCTATACTCTTTGTACAATCTCCTTGTATTTCTGTCCTGCTTCATTACAGTAGTTAACAATCTGTAAGGTCTGTTGACTTTCATTTTCTGCACTTCAGTACTTATCATTATTGGAGTATGGTCTGAACATCCAGGAAGCATGTATTGGTCCTCAATACCAGTGTATAGGTTGAACCATTCAGCATTCCCAAAGGCCCAATCTATATGACTATATATCCTTACTTCAGCATCTCTTTTGTTACGCCATGTGAAGTCACCCCCTTTTTTGGTAATCTGCCCTACTGCTATATCTTCAATACAATTTTGGAAATCTACTACTTCAGCTTGTTGTACAGGATTACCATTTATCCTATCATCAACATTTAGTACACTATTGAAATCTCCTATTATAAGCCAAGGATCATTCAATTGTATACTTCTTAGTTTCCCCCATAGTGATTGTCTATGTTGAACAGTATGCAATCCATAAACAAATGTTATGTAACAAGTGAAAACAGAATTCTTATCTTGCACATAACAATGAATCAGTTGCTCTGTCTTCTCCAGTACTGTTACATTGACATTGACTTCCTTCCACATTAGCCATATTCTCCCATTTGGTGCATATTCATAATTGTCCTCAATTTTCCAATCATTGCCTATTTTCCTTTGAACATCCTTTGTCTTCTGCTTTTTGACTCTTGTTTCAAGGCAAGCTATCATATCCACTTTGTTTCTCAGCAAGAATTTCCTCACTTCTCGCTGCTTGTGGGACTTATTCAGTCCCCTCACATTCCAAGATATGATGATCATGGTGGCTGAGCATTAGGAGTGCTGTTTAGGCTCCTTTGTCCTGCTTCATTTCTGGTGTCTGCATGCACAGTCTGTTCAGGTGGCTTCTCTTTTATCATCAGTGGTGCAAACCTGTTTCTATTTGCTAGCTCCTCATAATTGATCTCCTTATGCTTCAAAATTTGTGTGTNTTTGGCAGACTACCATTGATCATTGTTATGGATTTCCATCTCACTTTTGGCCATTCTGGATTGCTTTTTACATATGCTGTTTTGATGCTGAACTTCCCCTTCTTTACACAAGTCTGCATTCTTTGCATGTCATTTTCCCACCATTCTCTTGCATTGAATATCTTCCTTACAAGCCAACTAGCTTGTTTAGGAACTTCCATACTTGCTATATCTTGCTTCTTTATATATTGGCCATGTATCCATTTTATCCAGAGTTTATCCTTCTTATTCACTAATGCCCATAGTAGCTTTGTTATTGCTGCCTTGTTCCATGCTTCATAGTTGATTGTGTTTAGTCCTCCTGCTGCTTTTGGCTTACACAAAGTCTCCCAGGATATAGGATTTCTCTGGGTGGTGTCATTGCTTCTAGTCCACAGATACCTCCTGCATATGCTATCAACCATCTTTACAATCTTCTTAGGGATGAGGAACACTTGAGCCCAATATATCTGCATTTCAAACAAGACACTCTTAATGAGCTGTAGTCTGCCTGCATATGAAAGAAACTTAGAGGTCCAACTTCTAATCTTGTCCACAATTTTTTCCACCAAGGGCATACACTGTTGTATGCTGATCTTTTTTGCAGATAATGGTACTCCCAGGTATTTGAATGGTAAGGTCCCTTTTGATAACTGCAACTCAGCTAACATTTTATCCTTGAATTCCTTCTTTACTCCTGCTATATATAATGAACTTTTATCCATATTAGCATGCAGTCCTAAGACTTCAGAGAATTGTTGGAAACATCTGATAAGCATCTTCATGGATATTTCATCAGCCCTGCAACACATAAGAAGATCATCTGCAAAGCAGATGTGGACAATCTGCAGTTTCCTACATTTAGGATGAAAATTAAAGTTTGGTATTCTTGTCAGAGCTTTCAGATATCTATTGAGGTACTCCATGGCTAGAACAAACAGGTAAGGTGTCATGGGGTCCCCTTGCCTTAAGCCTTTCCTTGCTTCAAACTTCTCAGTGAGACCTCCATTCAACAGTAGTGAGTAGCTTACTGTACTAACACATGTCATAATCAGTTCCACTAGCTTAAAGGGCACACAAAACTCTAGTAATACTGTTCTCAGAAAACCCCATTCCACAGAATCATAGGCTTTCCTAATGTCCACCTTTATCATACACCTAGGTGATACATTCTTCTGAGTATATCCTTTGATTAGTTCATATGCCATTATCACATTGTCTAGTATATTCCTTCCTTCAATAAAAGCAGACTGAGCAGGTCCAACCAGGTAATCCACCATCATTTTCAGTTTATTTGTTAAGAGTTTAGCTATGATCCTGTATAGTGTTGAACAACAAGCAATAGGCCTAAACTCCTTAACAAGACTGGGATTTTTTACCTTTGGTATCAATGTGACAGTTGTGCAATTAACCTCCTTCATTAGCTTTCCTTTTTGAAAAAGATTCTGCATAGCATCTGTTACTTCTTGCCCTATGATTGACCAGCACTCCTTGAAGAATTCTGCGGGATATCCATCAATGCCTGGTGCCTTATCATTAGGCAGGTTCCTCACTACGTGGATCAATTTTTACAAATATAGAAGATACATACTTAAGGTGCCAAAATTAAATTATTTTTGTCAAGATATACTGATGTTTTTGTAATTCTTACTTTTATCAAGTTACTAAATAAGCATATTATTTATTCTGTTAAACATGATAGGTAAGAAGAGACACAAAAAAAATTTCCCCTGTTCGGTAGAAAGGAATAAAAACTAAATAATTTTTGTCAAAATATATTGATACACTTTTAATTTTCACTAAAAGCTGACAAAAGAAAAAAAAAGAATCATCTTAAATCAAATTACCGTTTAAGTGGTTTCACTTGATTACACAACTGACTGAATAAAAGAAAAATGTCTCCAAATAATCCAATCAATACTTATGATCTCGTATACAAATATTTTATTTCTGGACAATTTTATTTGGAGGTAAAGCTCTTTGTAAAAGTTGGAGAAAAAAAATAATTCTTTTGCTCTCCATGACCAAAAAAATTTAAGTTCCATAAATCAGTAACTCCTTTCACTCGTCATCAATATTATCATATTCTTAAAATTGGAATGAAGTTTTTTAAGTTTACTTGTTCAATATAAAAAATACAACAACCA